GATTTTGCCATTTTATATAAGGGATACTATTTTACTATGTCACTGTATTTAATGGGACTTGGGCATCCACAGATTGCGGTATCCACAGAGGTCCTGGAACAACGAATACCATGCGCCCACTGTAAATGTAGCATTAAATACATTTTGGCTGTGCTTATGATACTGTGATTTAAAAATATAATTTTAATGTTGCTAGCTGTTGATGTCACAACTATTGCCATTGCATTCAGTGATATACCAGGATTATGATTTGCAAGTAACATTAGGTCAAAATAATAATAGTAATATATCTATTTCATAACCGCCTCTTCCCATGGATCAATTCAGGGGGTAACAACATTAACAAACAACAACCTCTGTTAAAACACATACTAAGTAATAGTAATAGTAATAGTAATAGTAATATATCTATTTCTTACCCGCCTCTCCCCATGGATTGATTCAGGGGACAACAACATTATCAAACAACAACATCCATTAAAACACATGCTAAGTAATAGTAATAGTAATATATCTATTTCTTACCTGCCTCTCCCCATGGATTGATTCAGGGGGCAACAACATTAACAACAACATCAGCTAAAACACATACTAAGGATTCTGTGTGGTGTGGCATGGGAGGAGGTCAATGCGATGATGGTTGCCAACTCTAGTGATACCACTGATCTGAAGAGAACTACCATGCACATAAGACAGGTCTCCCTCTCCCTTTGTTGATAACCCCATCACAAGTTCTTCTGGTCCTTAAACCTCCCCGCGGGGACATTGTTCTCATGTTTGTAGGCTCACATTGAGGCTGTCCATGCTGACTGGAAAGAATATCTCAACTTGCTCATCTGTGAGGAAAGCCATCTCAAGTTCATGGAGGACTATCACCAGGTAAGCTTCAAACCAGTCTATGAAAACTCATGCTGACAACTTCTTTCTTTAGTTAGTCTCAAAGATGCTATGAGATCTCTCTACGTACTGATTCTACAGACTGACACGGCTATATCTTTGAATTTTTAAATTTTTTCACAGTTCCAAAAGGATGCTAAGGATGCTCAAGACCTCCTCAGAAAAGTAGACACAGACTTGGACCAGAAATATAGCCCAGATTTCAAGGACCGGTACCAAATTGAATCTTTGTTGCGGGAGCTTGAGGCAAGTATTCAGTCAATAGCAATGCAACATGAGAAAGCTAGGAGGTCAGAAGAGAAAGGACATGAAACTCCTGAAATCTGGGGGGGGGGGAAATCATTGAAAAATGCGCCCCAAACCCCCATTATCTAACTCAGCAGGGAAGAAACTTTACTTTTCATGTGTGAAAATACAAAGATTTTATATCCCTACCTCTTTTCAGGATGCAGGAGGGGTGAGGAGGTAGAACGGATGGGGGAGTAAGTGTAAGATATCCAAAGCTACTCTGTGCCAAGCCAGGTCAGTGTTCCAGCTAAACAATGGATGCCTCTTTTGATGGTAGCTACGATAAGGTCTCAGCAGCAACAGATTTTGCATTCCGTTCGTTCTGGAACTCGAAATAAATCCTTTGGCATGGAATGCTTTAATTCTGTTCTTTCAACCAGATTCCATTTGGTGAATATGGGAATACAGGTAAACCAAGTGTGGACAAGATGTGGCCTATGGGTGGCCTCCAGGGCTGTTTTTGTGGCCCTCAGTGTCACCCTGGGTTGCTCCTAAATGCCATCTAGGGCACATTTTCCCATGTTGTAGACCCAGAAAAGGCCTTTTTAAAAACCAGAAGTAAATCAAAAGTGACTTCTTGTTTTGAAAAAGCCCTCTCCTTGGCCTAAAATGGCCCAGAGTCTCCCCAAAAAACATGGCAGAAATTGCCCCCACAGCATCAAGAGGGTATTGGGGGGCTTTGGGGTCAAAAATTTAGTTTTAAAAAAATAGTACTGTGAGGGGGTACAGCCCCCAAGGTCTCCTAGGGGGCTAATGGGGCCCCCTAGCCTTCCATAGTTGCCTCTCTATGTAGTAAAACAACAACAACAACAACAACACAAATAAAGAAGTTGGCAGTATGAGCTTTCGTAGACTTCAGTCTACTTCCTCAGATGCATAGAATAGTAGACTGGAATCTACAAAAGCTGCCAACTTCTTTCTTTCGGTTAATCTCAAAGGTGCTACAAGATCTCTCTACATACTGATTCTAAAGACTAACACGGCTATATCTTTAAATAATAACATAAGTAGATCTTGTAGTGCTGACGTTTATTCATCTCTGTTCTGTGGCACTGGACAGGGAACTGTCCTCCTCTGCCATCTTAGCTTTTCTTGGTTGTCTGTCCTGGCCATCCCTTCCCTGGTGCACCAATGTCTTTGCTTTCTCTCTGACCAGGACCAGGAGAAAGCCTTAGACAAGTATGATGATGTGGTGACGTCCCTGCAGAAGCGCAGCCAGCAAGTCCTCCCTCTGAGGTACCGCCGGGAGACCCCCCTCAAACCCATCCCAGTGGAAGCTCTCTGTGACTATGAAAGTGATCAGGTAAGAAGATCTTGCGATGGCGGGATACCTGGCACACACATGTCATTGTGGGGCAGAAGGCTATGCCCTGATGAGAGAGCTGGAAGATGGGCAAGAATGGTAATGGACCTGTAGGAGGTTGATGCCTGCAGAGATCGGATGATATTGATCACAGAATGATAGATTTGGAAGTAATCTCAAGGGCCATTTAGTCAACCCTCTGTCACATAGAGATCTATACCTAAAGCACTCCTGAAAACCTCAGAAGAAGAGGCGCCCACCATCTTCCAAGGAAGTGTATTCTCTTACTGTCAGGGAAATCTTCCTAACGTTTAGGTGCAACCTCTGTTCTTCCCATTTGAATCTATGATGACTATTTATTTATATCCTGCCTTTTTTTTTTAACTGCCTTGGGACTCAAGGCAGCTTGCAAAGATCAAGACCAAAGCATTTTTAAAAGAACTTACATTATTAAAAATATGCTTGTTAAAATATAATTACCCCTCAATAGAATTAAAAATGACAAATCTCTTCTGAACAAATCTTGCAAAAACAAACAAACAAAACCAAAAAAAACAACAACCCCATGATAGGTTTGCCATAGGGCCACCATAAGTCAGAAACAACTTGAAGGCACACAACACATGAACACACACAACTATTAAAATGCAACAAATGTGAGCAGCAAAGCATTGTTAAAAGCCTTTTCTCATAAGCAGCCAGTTTCCCAAGACCTATAAAAACAAAATAAAAATGTCTCTTACCTGTTGTTCTACCTCCAACAGATAAGCACATTTTTATTTAGGCAGATGGTTGGTCATTAACTAGCTCCTGAGTTTGTACCATATGGGTGTTGTAGTTCTCAGAGAGCTAGTGTGATGTAGTGGTTTGAGTGTTGAGCTAGGACTCTGGAGACCAGGTTTTGATTCCATGCTCAGCTAAGGAAACCCACTGGGTGATCTTGGGTGAGTCACACACTCTCAGCCCCAGAAAACCCTGTGATAGGGTCACCTTAGAGTTGCCGTAAGGCAGAAATGACTTGAAGGCACACAACAACAGTTATCACAGGGGCATGCTATTAAAGATTTTAAATTATGTTTTAAAAATTGGACTTTTACTTTTATTTTGGGTCAATAGTCAATCTTGTTTTGTGTTTTATTCATATTCTTATTTTCTTTAATGAGTGATGCCCAAGTTCAGGAGAAAGACCAGATATACACCCAATAAACATATAAACGTGTGTGCTTACTCTTCCTGACCCAGTGCCACCTCTCTCGCGGAGCAACATACACGCTGCACAAGAACAGTGGCGACAACTGGGAGGTAATGGACAGCGCTGGAAATGTGATCAATGCACCTGGCGTCTGCTTCATGATTCCCCCTACAGATCCTGAATCGCTGACCCTTGCTGACAAGTAAGTGCTTCCTAACCATGGCTGCAGTAACAAAAGCAATAATGGGCCTAAATCCAATTGTTAATCCTAGTGTACACCAGCTAAAGAAAACCCAGTAGAAGAATAGCTGAACGGTGGCAGTTCCATTGGTACAAGGGGTCTACTCTCATTTAGTCTAGCAACTGCATTTAGCCTGTTAGCCTCCGTAATGCTTCAAACAAAGCACTCTCTGATGTATTCCACTATTCATTTTAAACCCAGAAGTGCTTTATTCGTCACTGTTTTCCTAACCATCCCCATCTTTTCATCTCATAGCATTGCTGGCCAGCATCAGAGTGTAAAACAGAAGATAGGTGGCACAAAGAACCTTCTGCAGCAGAGATATGATATGCTGAAGGCCGATGGCATTGGAGGTGGGTGTCCCTGGGGAAAGTGTGGGATCCACTTCAAACTGAGCCCCCCAAAGTTATTTTTATTGTATATCTTGGAAGAGCCTGGGCCTAGTGACAAATATAACTGGAAGACATATTGGGTACGGCCCCATGAATGGCAGAAACATTCTAATTCAGTAGCTTTGTCTACTCTGTCTTGAAAAATTCCTAAATGTTGAGACACCTGCCCCCCTAAAGCAAAATTCTGTGGTCTATAGAAATTAATAGAATTATGTAACAAGTAGAAATAGAATTCTGTGTTCTGTAGAATCTTCCTGCAGAGAGTTTGTTTATTCCTAGGGGTGTGGAGATGGGCATAATATAGTATTAAACTATGTGCAGAGAACTTCTTATCTGAGTCAGAATATGGCAACATTTATTATTCCTGGGATCCAGCTGTTTCTTTGATTTGGAGAAGATTCCTGGATCACGTTGTGCGTGCGCCTTCAAGTTGTTTCTGACTTATGGCAACTCTATTACAGGCTTTTCTTGGCAAGTTTCTTCAGAGGGGGTTTGCCACTGCCATCCTCTGAGGTTGAGAGAATGACTTGCCCAAGGTCACCCAGTGGGTTTCCATGGCTGAGCTGGGATTTGAACCCTGGTCTCCAGAGTCATAGTTCAACACTCAAACCACTACACCACACTTGCTCCGTAGAGCCTAGGTTTTGCATTGCAGAAGGTCCAACCTAGATTCAGTCCCTGGTCTTTCCAGTTGGAAGGATCTCAAGTGGGAGATGCTGTGAGAGAATTATGCACCATCAGACACAATGAACAGTGCTGGACTGGATCCTGGCCTGAGCCACTGGAAAGTGGATTCATGTTTTCATAAACCTACTTAATTCTGCATGTTGCTCAAGAAGGCAAAAAGAAAACAGAGGAGCTGCATGGATATTACAGGAAATGCCTTTAAGTAGCAGCAGGCAAAAAGCTGGTCTATTGCTTGTAAATCTTTCAGTGCAGTTCCTGTGGATTTTAGAGTCAGCCTTGAAGCTTTTTCGTAGCGATACCTCCCACTGAGCAAGGCCACATTGGAGTTGCTCACTATGATGATGATAAGAGCATCAGAATTTCACACCCAGAATTTGGAGAGAGAGATTTCTTTCCCAGGCAAACTTCTGTGTCCCTCTATTATTTGAGCTAAATGCTTCTGTGTGTAAGGGTGAGCATTTGAGTCTGCCTGTGCCAAATCTGATTTGTTACTTTTGCAAGCCAACAGCTCCAAAAGCAAAAGAAAAGTGTGGGTTTGAGTCAAAGCTCAGCAGAAGTTAATTTTTTGGGCTATAGTTCCAAAAATCCCTCAGACCGCATGACCACGGTTCATGTTGCCTAAGAGATTATAGGATTTATAATCCAAAATTAACTTCTGCGAGTTCTGATTTGGTACACCACCAATGGCAATATGATCCTTTCTGACAAGGGAGTGCTGGGAAGTGGTGGTGTTTAGTTTTTGACCAGGAATTGAGATAAAACTTTCCTTCCCTTGTTTCCCCCCCCCCCCTCCAGATGCATCCTCTGTACAAGGGCGACAACTGCTGGCAGGATTGGAAAAAGTGAACAGTGAGTTAGATAAGCAAGAGAAGGCCATCACAGCCAACCTGCGCCCTCCGCTAGAGCAAAGCCGGGCAGTACAAGACAGTGCGGAGCGGTCAAAGGACCTTAAGGTAAAGGCAGTCTTTGGGGAGGAAAGAAGAGTCCATGCAGGCACTCCACCGATTCTGAGCTTCCACACAAGATGAAGAGAGTTGGCTAAAATGAGGAGTTGGTGGACTGGGCTGCTTCAACTCAGGGATGTTTCTATTATTAGGTGCTTAGATGATTTTCTCAAGCAACAAATTCTAGAGGATTTTGGTGGTGTGAATTCCCGAAACGCTTCCCTCTCTTGGGTGATAGAGCTGTCAGTGCCACACCACCCATCCTGAGCCTGCTGAACTCTCTTGCTGTCCTCAGGTTTGGTGAAGGACTCTGTTGCATTCCTAGCATTTAAGTAAGGCTCTGCTAACATCCCAGTCAACCTCTGTACATGGACTGGGGACAGGTTGCCACTCTGTACTTTACCCAACCCAGCAAAATGTCTAGGACTGGACTTGCCATCACTTCAGTTTACAGGAAGAAGAGAAACTACCTTTGAATGCTGCTTAATTGTGTGTGTGTGTGTGGGGGGGGGGGGAAATCCCTAAGATTAGAAAATCAGTTTGAGAGGAAGAAAAAAGGCTCTCCTAGCTCTTTCTGTTCAGAGGGAAGGCATATAGAAAGCATTTTAAAATAACACCTGTGATCCTGTATCTAGCTGGCAGAGCCTAATGTTTTTCCTGTGTGGTTCTGTGCCCTGGCAGTTGTCAGGTCCTGCGAGGGTCCTTTGATGCTGATGCTTACCATTGGGAGGAGGCAATTCAGACGATGAAGAAGATGCTGGCCTCTGTTCTGGGGAGAAAAAAGAGTGCAAGAGTGATTTGGGAGCCCAGATCAAGTCTGAATTGCCTCCTCTCTTCCTCCCCATTGATAAGAAGCAGCAGCCATCCTGGGGCTTTGGGTGGGATGCAAAGGGCTAAAGAATAAGATACCTGTGCCCCATCCAGAAAGAGATATATGTGTATGTCACAAACAGCATGTCACCCCCACATCTGAAGTATAAAGTGAGGCAGTCCATTCTACCACTTCAACAGTCCATCATCTCTTTCTTCCTTCATGAGTAGATCTTTTTTGTACATGTCATATTGGTATCTTAGAAAATAGCATAAGGAGTTCTTCCTAGGGCCAGAATCACTCCCATCCTCCTCTGGCAAACTTAAGAATTGTACCAAATGGAGCAAAGATGCTGAGAAATGGGTGGGAAAGCAGGGCATGGAGCTAGACAGGAATCCAAGAGAGGTACATGCAGGCTGCTGGGTAAAAGAGCTAGAAGAATATTAGAGAGTCACACGGACAAGAATTGAGTTTTGCTGTTGCTCAGACCAGGGCTTAGGAATTTGTACCCAGGTTGGATCTTGGCCAAACAATGGGATGCTTAGAAAGAGGTGGAAGTATGCTGGGATTAGCAGGGCTGGGCAGGATCTAACCTTGCCTCTGCCCTACATGGAAGCACCAACCAACATGTACACCAGGGGTAGGCAACCTTTCCCCTTTAAGGGCTGAGGAACTTCAGCTCCCAGAAGCCTCAGCCATGTTGGCCAATAGTCCCATGTTGGCCAATAGTTCCTGGGATTCTGGGAGCTGAAGTCCCTCGGCCCTTAAAGGGGAAAGGTTGCCTACCCCTGATGTACACCAAGAGGAACCTGGCTCAAGGCCCCAGTTGACCCCATCTCAGATGGACAGCAGGGGGGTCATGCTCTACTGACTGACCTTCGGTTGCATCGTTCCCCATTCCCACTTACCCTTTCCCTTTGCAGAACATCACCAATGAGATCCGTTGCATCGAACCTGAGAAAGCACGCAAGGTCCAGGAGTGTGAAGCCTTCATCGAGTCGGCGCCCGACAAGGGCAGCGTCACGTTGATGAAGAGCAAAGTGGAAGAAACAAACAACAAATACAACCACGTTGTCCAGCTGCTCAGTGCTGCTCAGGAAAAGTAGGTGCCAGTTTCAGGCTTCCCCTCATCAAGACTAGAAATAGGCCTTAAAACGTGGTCACCAGGCTCTAATTATTTGGATATTTTTTCCCAGCAGAACCCAGGGGTAGGCAACCTTTCCCCTTTAAGGGCCGAGGGACTTCAGCTCCCAGAATCCCAGGAGCTATTGGCCAACATGGGACTATTGGCCAACATGGTTGAGGCTTCTGGGAGCTGAAGTCCCTCGGCCCTTAAAGGGGAAAGGTTGCCTACCCCTGATCTAATTGTTTGGATATTTTTTCAAAGCAGAACCTATCGGCCGTCTTTGCTTATCTGGTTTGACTTTTTAAGATAAGCTCCTCCATTTGGTGTGCCTGTTTGAGGTAGAAGGGTTGTAGTTTAATAACAGAGCACCTGCTGTATATGTTGCAGGTCCTGGGTTTGGTCCCCAGCATCTCCAGGTAGAGTTGAGGACAGGTTGCATACCTGGAGCGATGTTTCTTTGAGTGGTCATCTGCGAAGTCACACAAATGGGTTATCCTGCGCCTGCGCAGAGCCATCTGGAACCTTCTTAGAGCTATTAGAAGCGTTTTGGCGCTAGCTCCGCCCACTCTCCAACTGCCTTATCTAGAGGAACTCTTCAGAGGTCCATTTTCCTGTCACACTTTAAAATTTACCTTTTGACAGGATCAATCCGTGTCTTGGTGGTACTGTTTTAACATCGCCATGCATATTTTAAGAGGAGCACTGCGATTTCTGTGAGAATCGCTTCCTTACATGCAAATTTAATTTCTGAGGTGAAGTTATTTTAACGCCGCTGAGGTAAATTTTTTTCTAAAATGGCCGCTCGCCTTTCTGGCGTTCTTGGCAAAGCTCCTCTGCACCCTGAATGGGGACAATTTTTCTTCCGGAGAGTACTCCTAGAGGAAAAATATTAAAACTTCACTTGACGAAGGCCATTTTTACTGCTTAAAAAAAAAAATGTGCGCCTTTTATGGCCGCTTGCCCTGCTTCATGCTCGGCTAAGGTCCGTCGTACTTCTGAGGAGAAATTTTTATGTGGTTGCTGACCTCTACGTCGCATGGCTAAAGCACCACACTCCCAAAATCCAATAGCATCCCTGGAGGATGCTGGTGGTCTATCTTTCAAGGCTGAGGGACCTCTTTCAGTCTGGGGGCTGAATTCAGGGCCTTTACAGACTGCCAGAAATAATGCAGCTTGAGACCACTTTAACTGCCCTGGTTCAGTGCTAGGGAATCATGGGAACTGTAGTTTATTGTGGCACCAGAGGTCTCTGACAGAGAAGGCTCAATGTCTTAGAAAAAACTACAATTCCCATGATTCCCTAGCACTGAGCCAGGGGAGTTAAAGTGGTCTCAAGCTGCATTACTTCTGGCAGTCTGTAAAGGCCCTTTAGTCTCCGAAATGTTCTCAGGTGGGCAGGGACAAAAAAGTGGGATTGAAAAATGCAAACATATTTTTGCTTAAAGCGCTTTCTAAAACTAAGCATTGGGCAACCTTTTAAAACTGAATTTTAAAAGAGTCTTTAATGCTTTTGTAGTGCCTTCATCCTAAGCCTGTTTGGTTCTCAACCTCTGGCCCTCCAGATGTTTTGAACCAGCTTCTAGAAGCCACAGACAACATAGAATGATCCAATCTTAGAGTTGGAAGGAACCACAAGGGCCACCTCTTGCCATGTGGGAATATACAACTAAAACATTTTTGAGAGATGCCTATCCAATTGCTGCTTAAAGACCTCCAAAGAAGGAGAGTCTACCCCTCTATTCCAATTTTGTACAGCTGTTATGTATAAGAACTTCTTATATTTAGGTTGAGTCTGTTCTTGTAATTTGAATCCATGGGATCATGTTCCAGTCTCTGGAGCAACCGAAAACAAAGTAGCCATGAACTAGGCACATTATCACATGGGGCCCAATCCAAACAAAATCCACACGAAATCCCCACCGATACTGGATTATTGGCCCGTGTTTTCACACGACGTCGCACAGAACCCCCGACAGAAAGTGAAAGAACCGAGATCTTTTGAAATTCGGTTTCTTGAGGAATTGCAATT